GAAGAAAAATTCATTCTGCCCTGCGAAGGAACGCAGCAAACACCTTTCATCCATCGACACGATACATTCGAGAGGCGAGTTTGAAGTTCGCTCGAGGGAAACAGGAAAGGTACGTATGAAACACGCTGGTTCGCCGCTTTATCAACATTGTCCGACCCAATTGCATCGGTGATTCCAACGCAAGACACTTTCAAGCCAAAACAGAATCGCCCGCGGCTTCGTTCACGTGCGTTTTTATCGGCCACGAACCGAACCGATTACATCATTGCTTCGGCGAATCGTCACGGATGGGATCTCGAAGGCTGAGCTCAGAGGAAATTTCCTTGACCGTGTTATCCTATCTAGGAAAGGGAATAGATAACGACGAAAAATGGGAAGGACGTAGAACGAACGAGTCAATCGAATAGTTGGCACGTGTACGAAAATCGAAATATTGCTAGATCGATCTCTGATTACGATGCTCTTGATTTTATCAATTTGTAATGATTCTCGTTATCAATACATTACGGATTACGTGTAATTACTCACGGCATTCGAGGAAAGTACAATTTTTTATTATCTAAAAACAATGATATTCTTCAGTTTATCGTTTGCTACTTCTATTCTTTTATTGAACCTTTTAATTAAATTTTCTATTCACGTATCTACCAGAAAGTACACTAAAATTGAAAACTGAGATCTTTTTACCACGAAACATGTTTACTCTTCAAGGTAAACTTTTCCACGAGAAATCAGATCAGTTTACCGTGAAATACGTGTTTACTCTTCAGGGATAAGGGTGAAATTTTCCATGAATTATTTTCCGATGTGTTTAAAGGATTGTTATCGAGACAAAGGTTTGCCTTGGATAAATATGCGGTAACTTGGCTCAATAAGAGAATTTCTAACGTATTAGATAGTAACGTAGTGAGGCTGTCGAGGAAAATTACAGATTCGTCGCTTTTTGTCCTGATCGGGGTTGGGACTGCCCACATTCGTTACGGAACATCCGTGAACATTGACCAACACAAGTTTCCCGCGGCTGACAACGGACAGATAAGGAATTAGGATAGCACTACCCATGACACTCTTTATCGGATTAATTCGTGTTGCCTGTACATGCTCGTCGCGATAACTCTCGAATACGGAACGATAAGTAGAGAATAATCGTTTGGTATTTGCTAAACCGGCCAAATTTCACGATCGATCCAATTCCTGTGACTCATCCAACGTGAAACACGCGAAATCTACTGGGTGTGACGTTTTAATCTGCCATTGCAAATATTTCGAAAATTACACCTGATAGAAGAAAATTCTTCTAGATCACAGGAGATCACGATGGACGTCGTAAGATGTTATTAAAGATGGAGGCGTTGAGGTGACTCAAAAGGCACTTAGGTCTGCTTCTTTTAACAATTTTTGATAATTTTCGAAAAATTTGCAATAATAAATTAAAACGTGACATTCTGGATAATCTCTTGACGAGTAAAGTAATCGGGAAAAAAACCCCCGAAAGGAAGCCCCGAAGGAGATAAACTTAAGTCCCGAAACGGAAGATTACCGTGCAGAGACTTTGGAGACACGTAGAAACCGATAAAAGTATGAAAAATATCGACTGTTCGTCTGTGAATAAAAGAAATTCACGATGGGATTGTTTATGCTGAATAATTTCGTCGAATCGAGCAGGTATATACGGACTTTCTTACAAGTAGATTGTCGAACAGAGATTTTACTGTATACGTTACTCGTTATCCTTGGGAACCTCGGTGCTATGGGAAACTCTCGCGTTTCTTTTCGCCCACAGTGAAAAAGCATGCAAAACTCGAGGAACGACGAGCGTCGCAATATGGTGCACGTTTTTTGCACGTGTCGCGACACATCGGCCAAGATTGTTCAAATGTCAAATGTTTCATCGCCAAATTGATTGTCAATATTTGTGCCCGGTCGTCTCCTCTTTTTCTTCTTCTTCTTTTTTCTCTCATTCAACACACCTTTGTACGAGGTGAATAGAGAACGACAATGTGATCTGACGAATGAATGCAGATTATGCGTCCGGAAATAGAGTAAAGAAAAAACGTCGATGTCTCTCCCATGTTTAATTGATGCAATCACGATCGAAGCGCAGATTCCATCGGTGTAATTTCCGTCGTTTATATTACGATCGATTAAATTAAATCGGGATCCGAAATGGGCGGCGAAAATAGGCGGGGGGAAAAATAAAAGGTCTTTCTTTATTTTTAAGCTCGTTCGGTGATCTAACGAGCCGATATTCGATGTGAACGATGGCCAAAAATTGGTGACGGACCACTGACGGAAATGTTGCACCACGCTGATACACTGTGGGCACTCTGGCTTCGTCGCGTGACGGAATAAACACGAATCGCGAAGTGTTAACGATCTTGACGTGTCGAACTTGAAAGGTGTGCAATGAAAATTCGCATTTTTGAATTAAGGACGCGACCATGTCACATATTCTTCTTGCGATTAAGAGAAGGACGTTTCAACGAATTCGTTGAAATACAAGGAAAAAGAAGGCAAAGTAGAACGTATCTACTTGTTTGGAAAAATTTCAAATTCGCTATTAAGAATTTCCAGATAGCTTTACCTTCGATAAGAGTAGAATGTAATTAAGATTGCAGGGAATTGAACGAGAATTTTTGACTATTGCTCACGCTTAGACAAGAGTACTGTACACACTTGAAAATCTTTATCCACCGAAGACACAACAACATGCATAATCGATACGATAACTACGTTTCGAAATTAAATAACAATATCAATGAGTGTCATCTTTCGTCGGACAAAGTGGGAATAAAGTGGCGGACGATATTGATAGGCGTGATCGAGAGGTGGTCGAATCATTATTTAGGAATTTGAATTTTGCATGTCGATAAAATTCGTCGATTTGCATAGGATTACTAGAACGTCGATTCTTTTCGAAGAAACTGCCTTCTAGCGAGATTCGTCGCGATTTTATCACAGAAATTGATTCTTCCAATTAGAATCGATAACTTCGAATAATTGTAACTTTTCGTAATGTAAATTGTGAATAACACTATCGAATGTATAACAAAGAAACATGTACTTGAATGAGTTTGTTGTCGATTGAGGTACTTAAAAAGTTTCAAAATGTTGTGTAATTTGGATGTTGTAATGCTTTTGAAAGAATGTCGCTTCGACTAATTTCGAATCACTGTGATATAGCAGAAAATGGTGCTATTTAAGAGAACTAATTTATCAAACTTTTCACTTACAAACTAGCGTAACTACAATTCACATAAATCAGGATCAACACAGAGAGTAAACATGAATGTTCATGAATGATGGCGACAGTAATAATGCACAGATCACAGTAAATCAGAAGTCTAACATCAACATAAATTCGTAACTTCTCTCACTGTTACTTAAGCAAATTTCATAGAGGATGAAAAAGTTTGGCGTTTGCAATGCCAACTTATTTTCCCTGCAAATTTTCAATCGATCACCGTTTTTACAGTCAAATTGAACTCTGTTGTAGTATTTTCCATTCGTTACATTTATTAACTAAAAAGTTAAATATATGTTAAATTAAATTTTACAATATATTTTTAAGAAAAATGTAATATAAACTGATAAGATTTATAATTACCAGTTTGACGAATGATTTCTTTGCAATACAATATTATTTATTAATCTTTCTTAAATTATCTTCAAAGAGACTAACGCTGCTAAATAAATCCATGACTCGAGGGAAACTACTGGAGCAACTAAAAGTATCATAAAATCTGAATCGATTAAAATGCAACTTGTAGATTCAGGTATACAAGGGAAACAAACGAAACGAACTCGATACACGTAAAACAGATAAGAAGAGTTAAGTGTGCAAAGAAAGGCGTGCAGTTCCTTCGACACTCTTCACAGTCAATTTAATTCATCAGTGTCAATTAAATCCGCGACTGGATTCTACTATCGAGACGTTGGCTGAATTAAAAGCTACTACCCGATAGGATGTATCGAAATCTACTGTGAAGACACAAAAAGAAAAACAAAAAAAAAAAGAGTCTAAAAGTGGAAACAATGAAAATTATTTTTTTCCATCTCTTTGTGTGAAATATTTCTATTCGACATTTCCCAACTAACGTTGTCGATTCGCATACAGACCAGCCTACAACTTTTACACAATTCACCCGGTGGTTATTCGCACGCTGAAACGAGCACGTGAATTGCGTAAACAACGCCGACAAAAAGCGACCATTTATCCGTGTAATCGCGTCGTCCGAGCTGTAAGACGGTTTATTTAAAACCCTCTCTAAATCAAACCGACCAACTAGCCTACTCGACGCTATTCACCTCGAGCCCGATTCTCCTAACAAAAACGTTTCACGTACAAATGATAATTAAACGACACCTTTGAAAGATTGATCTGTGCTCCTCCGAAGTCGATTAAACCGTACACTTTTCGTTAACAAGTGCGTATCGTGAAAAGAATATTCTATCGCTTGTTAAGGTTAACGTTATTCAACGTAGTTCAATACTTGAGAAAGAATTTTTCTCAATAGAATACCGAAGCTAAGTTAACAAAGTACATCGAGATATATTTTATTCAAGTGAACGATAAACTGTCATAAAACGTGCGCTAGTCTAAGCTTCTTTGAAGGGAAGCTTTCGATAAGCTACGCAACGCGGAACGTGTCGATAGTAAACAGACAAAAGATCATGCTGAATTTTTCACTTGACACGGAAAAATATGTACAGCTTATTAAGAATACTTATCTGCACTGAGACCAAGGGACTCGTTATCGCGTAAGTAGAGATAATAACATGTCTCGACAAATTTGCATCCTTCTTACTTTCAATTTCTACAATTTTATCTATTCACACCATATTCTGCTTCGCTAAAAATCCAACAAGTTCCTGCATTGCAAACTAAAAAGAATAAATAAACAGGAAACAAGTGGTTACTTTTATGGGAAAAAAAATTTAGCGCAATCACAGTTGGAGAATAACGAGAATTGTGAAAAAGTGAGCAAGTGTGAACTTACTTTCTCGTGGTCAATTCAAAGTATCCAGATGCGAGAGTGGGTACTGGTAACCCATGGATGGTGGCGATTGTAATCCGGTCCGTGAGCACGTGCAACTGTCGGCTGCTTTCGCGCGACTGAAACGGAGTCGCGCTACTGAGAACACTCGAGCTAACCACCAAAGACTGCTTGCTACTTGCTACTACTTTGCTGCTGCTTGTTTCAGAGCCGGACCGGTGTCATTCCGCCTCTCCCCGGCTCTAGACGCGCGCGGCCACTGAATTTCGTCGGAGGTGACGGCGGAACCGTTCGTTATCTTCTTGGCCGAGGTCGATGAAGACGTTCAACTGCTGGAAAATTGGCTTCCGGAACATCACGAAGAAGTCACGGTCAGATTTCCTTCGCGTAAACGCGGCACTGACGCATAAAACGCCGTTGACTAACGGGCCACGATCGCTTTTCTGCGAATTTTCCCTCGTAATCTCCTACGCTTTGATCTTCCTCAGAAATTGACGTTTTCAGAATTTTCCGAAGAAATATGGTACAGCGATTGAAACGACCTTTGAAGGAATTTCAGTTTTCAGATTTTTCATCTTGCCATCTGAATTTCGATAAGATTTCTAATGTTTGGAATTTTTTTTTCTTCAAATCCAAGTTAGACTTTCGATCAAGATGTATTGGAAATTGAATTTTTTTTACATTAACTTTATTAGTCTCATTTTTATTAGAATTTGACTTGCGACTAATGTCACTTTTGCAACAGTATTGCATATTAATATTGTAATTCTAGAATGTTGTCATTAATTTCTGCTTACTAGAATTTTTCGAAAGAAACTAGAATACGCCGTGTTTCATATACCACAACGCTGTTTCTGACGAATCTAATTTCTCGAGAATTTCGGTACACAGATTAGATCTTCATAGTCTTTAATAGATTAGAACTTGATCACCGACATATCTGGTTATCTACAGGATAGTATTCGGTGATTTGCAGATTAGAGTGCATCCGTAGTTGATGATTTAATCAGCATTTTGACGCAATGTGTATTCACCTTGTGTAACTTCCAAAGACAATAGATTTATGATAGACTGTAGTAATTCCTCGAATCTTGCACTAATGACGATAAGAATTGTACACGTCCATTAAGAATAGTTGAATCGTCACATGGAATCAAGAACAATATAAAAATAAACACATGAAATTGTACTAAACACTAGAGAAAAAAAAAAAAAACATTGAAACGTTCACTTTGCAGTGTTCACATACAAAATTAATATTAATTCACGTAAAATTTGTATTAATTTAACTTAGAATTAATTTCAGGAATAAATAGAGAATTAAGCCGAAACCAGAAGATCAAACACGTTGATGATTCAAGGAGCGTGTGTATACCTTTGCGAGAACTGTAAACTACTACCGACACAAGTTTCGATTTAAGGACGAAATTCTGGTGGAACAATGGAATCAACGGATCTTCGACCTCCATAGGAATCCTTTTTGCCAGTTCAGTCTTCGAATGAGCTGTTGCGTGTGAAATAATCATGCTGGATTACCACTCTGCGTGCGAGTAATAACGAATCCAAGTTACTATTATGTCCTTACCGTGTATTACAATGCCTTTAAGTATTGTCATCGCGTGTTTCCGTTAAAATTCCACTTAAGTGATCCACGGGCTCAGCGTTTAATAAAACCAGCTTGAAAATAAGAAAAATTATAACGTCGTTGTAATTATCGCAACTGATCCTCATTGTCTTCGTTTTATCTAGATTTTTCTATCCAATTCGTTTTCCCTTTATTCCGACTGTTTCCTTTTCCTTTCGTATAATTTCATCTCTGCCTTATGTAACAATAGTAAGAAAAAATCTTCGATAATGGTTTCTTCCTTTGTAACGATTTACTTCGTAACGACTACCTTTAATTTTTCCATGTCTTACACAAACATTAACGATAAGAAAATCAAAGATTGATTGCGTGTATTTGTCAACCAAATGTAAAGATTGCCATCCATCTAATCTATTCAACTTCGTCGGAGGATTTGTTTAACCGTATTTTCTTGTATATAATGTACGAACCAGAAATGGAAACGGGGCCGTAGGTGTATATAACATTTTTATGGACGCAGAACGGCCTTAAACTGAACTAGCCATGGACGAACGTATAATATACCTGTACATGCCATGTTTCGTTAATTTCTGAGACTTCGGTCCCTGACTCTGTCATTGGAGTCTAATGGCCACGTAAATGGAATGAAGAAAAGGAGAAGATAGGTGGATGCGTGTATTATTTTTGTCTTTCTGCAATACGCAGTTTCTGTGTAGAAGAAAAAATGATGAAAGAAACAAATAGAGACGAAACGTACAGTACTAATTTCAAGAGAAATCATTTCTCGAAACCTATTGCACACAAACTCTCAGTCCGAATAGATTACACTTACTTAAACATTCTCTTCATTTCTTGCAATAAACCACGTAATACACCATAAACTTTTGCCATTCAGGATTACTAAACTGTAACACTGGTTTTAATTGTAATATCAGCTTCCGATCATCTGTCTACAGCTTAACCTACGGATTTAACGAATTCCTATAATCGAGAATGTTATCGATAATACACCGATACACTTTGTAGAATCAACAAATTTACTTTGCACCCGTTATCAATTACATCGAACACGGTGAAAATACCGGTACTCTTCTGTATGATGTGTTTGTGAAACCAACTGGTGTTTTTCATAAAAACGTGAAAATAGTGGATTGTAAACAGCAATAAATGCATCAGTCATATCGACGGATTAACGTCGACGTTCAAGATTTTAGCCGCTAATGCCTGGTTCGTGCGTATCGATTACACTCGTTCTCATCGATTATCGATAATATTAAACCATCCTAATTTTTATCTTCGACATATAAAAGTTGAAATCATCACGTTCTGTAAGTACTATTACCACGTGCGAATAATTTTGTCTATGATCGTATATTTGTGTACGTGATAATCCTTTATCGGTTCTTTTCCATTTACACCGAATACTTTTAGGACCTTCGTTGTTTACGTACGTTATAGGTTAGAACGGAAATTTTCGTGAATCTTGTGCTATCTACGAATGACGTGCGCATTTTTGATTTGGAAAAATTTGTCTTCGTCTCTCTCTGTACGAAAGTACAATTATTTTATCTTTCTATCTCAACTCTAAGGGTTCCTAAATTTTCCATTCTGATGACGCAGTGCTTACCGTGGTAAATTGAGTTGAACTAATACAGTTTCTTGCCTGCTACTATCGAACTGTATATTTGTACAAAAGCAATTCAATTTTACTGTCCTTGATGAAAAGTACATTCATCAGGGATTCCTTGACATTTTTCTTTATCACGCAAAATCGCTTCAACACTTGTGTCTGGAAACTTACCGTTGAACATTTAAAATAACAAAGTACTTACGCCTACATAGGTACTCTGATTTAATAATCACTTATCAAATAATCTTATAACAATATTATCATTCATTATTTTGTCTTGAAGAATAGTGAAAAAATTTTCCGATGCAACACAAGAGACAAAGAATGGTGTAAAAATCATCTGTACTATTCCCATCGTGTATTAATCATTTCAATTATCTCATAACACGCGCATCTCGTACGCAATTAAAACACCTTTACGTAATAGGATTAAGAATTTATATGATACGAGAGAAAAAGAAACTTGTGCATCAACTCATCCTCTGCGACATACCGAGAGAGATTCATGGAACGTTATCGCGTTCCCACGGAAGAACAGAACGGACCCTCGTCGTGAGAATCATAGAAAACTTTCCATCACGAAACAGTAACGAGACGAAAGTCAAAGACTCATCCGCGTGGAAATTTTTTTCTCAAAAGGGGCTGAATGGCAAACAATGACTAATACGTGTCATCAAAATCCTTATTTTGTCCTCATTTTCCTCATACATTGTATACAACCGTTCCACTTTGAATTAAAGAAGAAATAATTTACAGTAGAAGTGTTTTGACTTCCTTTCTTTTTTTATCCTCAAGTTTCATCGCGTTACATAAGAAATGGCAAGATATAGTAAATACCCGGCCGCGGGCCTACGTTTCAATTTTATTTTGTGTTTCCAAGCTACTATTTAGAGAGTGGTGCCAAGATGCTCACACTCGGAAGAGGATCTAAAATAACTAAGCCTTTTGCTAGCTTCTGGTCAGTGACCGACAGGTTTTGCGACCTCCGATAATGGGGGAAACAATAGTATTTCGGCTGTGTGCGAATTATCCAATCGTTTTGATGAACGAACAGAATATTTTGAATATATTTACCTCGTATGCGCGTTAATTATCATGAATGCGTAACCACGGTATTAAATTGTCAATAAAAAACAAGTTGTTGTTTGTCCGCAATAAGTTTTTAGAAATATTTCATAAAAAACGCGACTCTTTAGAGTGAGTAATGATCTGATCAAAGGAAACTGAAAAATATGAATTATTAAAAACAATTGAACTATACAACTGATTTTTCACAACTTTGTCAATCTTGAAATCATTAATGTTGATTCTTAAAATCATCGTTTAGTATTCCTAAATTATGTAAAACCATAATCATAATTCAGACGGAACTAGGGAGAGGAGTATAATATAAGATTTATATTTTTATTAAGATTAATGTTTTTTATAAGTATAATGATTAGATATACACACAGTTTTAGTTGCTCATAGATAATACTTATAAATAACATATAAAGAGCTGTTGCACAATTTTCATTGTAAGCCCTGACTTATTTCTAAATCTCATTAGTGGAACGTTATATATTGACAAAATCTTATAGCTCATACATTAATAAAGCAAGTTTTATTAGTGTTTAATTTCAACAATTCTGTATGCTATATATCATATAATGTAGACATTATCATTAGAAGGAAGTAAACAAATTATTTCACTTACTTGTTTCACGAATATACGTATTATAGAATAGTAACAAGCAAATGTCAATAAATGCTATACAAAAAGACAGATGTACATGTATAACGTACAACATACATGATTTGAACACCTATCTTGATATGTATATAGTGTAACTTATGTATTACATTACAATGCTTCTGAATTGCTATTAGCAAGAGCAAGTACCGTAAAGCACATTTCTTCTGGATCACGAGCCATATATTCTTTACAAACACGCGCAGCGTCTTCTAATAGCGTTTCCGGACTCGTTGAACCATGATTGATAGGAGCAGACTTGCGTCCATCTAAAAATTTATATATTTAAAAATTCAATTCTTGTAATATTATTTTTTATATAATTATTTATTATAATTAGTAATACAAAAATATTTACCTAATTCGTATAAAACTCCATTCTTATGTATAAGTGCTACAAAATGATGATAGACTGGTACATCTTCACCTGGTGCCTACCAAATACTTTCTATTATATTTCATATGCAATTACAGAGGCAAAATAAAATTCATACCTCTGTTTGTCCCTCTTGTGCTAGCTCTTTGTGAGTAGAACTTATATCACATGACTCTATTAAAAGTTTCCCACATTCTTGGAAAGAGAGATTTTTTGAATCATCTAAGAAGGTTTTTAGAAAACCACTTTTAAGACCTACACTGTAAAATAGAAGTAAGATATAATATACAGTATAGTCTCTAAAATCAGTCAATTTTCCATAGTATTACTTATATACTTACATGTCCTGATTATTTGCAATACTGTGAATTAATGCAATTGTGCCACAGGCATTATGAATATACTGTTTCATATGATAAACTGATGAATCTCTAGGAATACTTGTATCAATCCCTTTAATTTTTTCTTCTTCATCTTCTAAACCAATATCAGACTATAATCACAAAAATATTGTTCAGTATAAGATACAATATTAGATAAATGTAACAATATAATTTTTATTTTGAAACCTTTTTGGATAAAGGATATAGTAAAATGACAGCAACAACTGGCTTAGGTACAAGTGCTAGCAGATCAGGTTCCAACCCATAAACATCAACAATGGACCAATCTTCTGCTACACCTAATTTGTGTAAAAACTGCAAAATGATATTTTTTATTATTGCATTCGGTAAATACCAAGTTACTAACAAGATTATTCTATAAAAAAGATTGTTTAGTGATTCATGACACATCATTAGGTTTTTCAAAAATAAAAAGAATTTTAAAAATATTTAGAAATTACAAGGTCGAGGATCAATATCAGCAATGAAAAGTCACGATGGTTTACCTTTGTCATAACCTAAAAGAAAGAAAAGAAATTATTGAGTAATATAACAATAATGATATATTTTGTATTTGGAAACAAACAACTATGATAAAAAATTCGTACCTCTGGATTCGATTCCATTGGTACCCAAGACGTCATGATGAATTTTATTGATTCTACAAAATATCGGTAAATTCACAACCTTACGCTGTAACTTAAAATTTACTGTAAATATGCTTTAATACCAATTTTCACAAAAAAGATTACTTACAACGAATGTTCTAAATTCACAACTGCGTATCTGCTGTATTAAAAAATAGCTATGTGCAAAATTTAAACGTTGTTACTAGTCCTATCACACCCCGGCGAATGTGCCGAAATCCTGAAAGTTTGACACAATCTAGTAGCATGCTATTGGTTATTGATAAGACATTTCTAAAATAATTTTAAAACAATTTGCAACAACATATTCATTATATGTTTAAAGTGTTTCTCAGCATATTTTGTTAGTTTTATGATAAGGTGTGTAATGTAATTTGTTATAAATTCTTTATTTATGTGTAATGATTAGCATAATTTCTTTTATAAAACTTTTATTAACAACTTTTGAATGTCTGCACTATCATATGGAAAAGATGAATATTTCTTTTTAGTTCATAAGATATTTTTTCAATTTCTTAAGAGAAATTGCAAAGGATGCTTACAAGTAACTATTCTTCTGATATTAAATGTTGATATACAGGGTGTCCCAGCTGATTTTGACATCTTGATTTTCTTGCTATTATTACTCAAAGCGAAATATGTTTCAGATGAAAGTGAAACTTTTCTACTCATGAAAAAATTAATAACACCAGAATATGCCCCCTTTGACACCGTTTAAATTTCATCTGAAACATTTTCCGCTATGAGTAATAATAACGAGAAAATCAAGATGTCAAAATCAGCTGAGACACCCTGTATAAATAATGATTCATTTGAATGTTATATGCACATTAACATGTATTTTGTAAACAAGTAATTAATAAAAAAAAAATGTATTAACATTGGCTATCTTGTTTAATCTTACATGATAATGTAACTACGTCTGTAAATGCTTTGCATAAATTGTTTTCAGAAAACACTGTGCAGTACAATGATTTTATCAATTTACATTGTATTAAGTTCTTTGGTATTATGTACCTCATGGGGAAATCAGTATATAGTCGTAACAGCTGATAAAGAAGACAGTGAAACACTTTGGCCTTCAGAAACAGAAATAAACCAATATTCTCCAACATGGGACAGTTTAGATAGTCGTCCACTTCCAAATTGGTATGATGATGCAAAATTTGGTATTTTTATACATTGGGGTGTTTTCAGTGTTCCTAGCTTTGGCTCTGAATGGTTTTGGTATAATTGGCAAGGTAATCTATTTTGTTATTACTAATTGTATTTATAAAATATACTGATTTAAGCAGCTTTTTTTTTATATATCATAAAATTCTTTACTTCATTATTTTTAGAAGAACATACTGACACTAAATATGATGACTTTATGAAACAAAGATATCCTCCCAATTTTACATATCAGGACTTTGCTCATGAGTTTACTGCTGAATTTTTCAATGCCACACAGTGGAGTGAATTGTTTCAAGCTTCAGGTGCAAAATATATTGTAATGACAAGCAAACATCATGAAGGATATACATTATGGCCTTCAAAATACTCATTTAGCTGGAATTCTGTAGATGTTGGACCAAGAAAAGATCTTATAGGTATCAGTTAAGTTATATCTTTTACCATTTTGATTGCTTTATAATAGTTTTGCATTTCTGATTACTCATTTCTAAAACCAGGTGAAGTGGCCACAGCAATAAGAGATTCAACTAATTTAAAATTTGGTGTTTATCATTCTATGTATGAATGGTATAATCCTCATTACTTGTCTGATAAACACAACAATTTCACGACGCAAAATTTTGTTAAACAAAAAACAGTCCTTGAATTACTTGAGTTAATAGAAAAATATAAACCAGAAGTTATATGGTCTGATGGTGATTGGGAAGCATCAGATACTTATTGGCAATCAAAAGAATTTTTAGCTTGGTTATATAATAAAAGCCCCGTGAAGGATACAGTTGTTGTAAATGATAGATGGGGTAAAAATATACCATGCCATCACGGCGATTTTTATACCTGTACCGATCGATTTAATCCCGGTAAAAATTAAAGTTGAATTTCGTATATTCACGATTTACATTAGATATATATTTTTTGTTTATTTTAACTTGAAATCTTCAGGAGTACTTTTACCACACAAATGGGAAAACTGTATGACTATTGACAGAAAATCTTGGGGATTTCGTAGGAATGCTGTTTTATCAGAATATTTTACTTTACCAGAATTGGTAAAAGAATTAGCAGTTACTGTAAGTTGTGGAGGAAATTTATTAGTGAATGTGGGACCAACAAAGGATGGTATTATTACCCCAATATTTGAAGAGAGACTACGTGGAATGGGTATGTTCTTCATTTACAAAATTAAAATTAATGTTTCTGCTTTATTTAAGATAAAATGAGATGTGATAGCAATTGTTTATAAATGTAATACTTCATTTAACAGGTGATTGGTTAGAAATAAATGGAGAAGCTATTTATAGTACCAAACCTTGGATTGCACAAAATGATACTTTAACTAACAATGTTTGGTATACACAACATAAAAATAAAAAACAAATTTATGCAATAATTCTTGAGTGGCCAAATGATGGCATATTACATTTAGGATCATTTAGAGCAACCACTGGCACACAAATTTCTTTACTTGGATCTGAGCTATTACTTGAAGTATGTGTTTAATTTTAATGGAAACTAAATTTAAATCAAATATATTAATAATAAATATAATGGCACAAAATAAATTAAAATTTTCAATTTCAGTGGACACAAAACGGTAAAAAGTTGACTGTAAATTTACAAGCAGAATTTCATAAGGGGCAACCAGCTTGGGTATTGAAAATGAAACAAAAATAACAAAAGCGAAATATTATTTAAGCATACTTTTTATTAAAAATAATATTTTGTATTCACTTAAGGAAGGTAATACACGTGAATTATAAAATATTTTATTACCTGCTCTTCCCTATGAAATTTTATTTATACTTTGTATTCATATATTGTATAAAAGAAATAAGTCTTTGTAGTATTTCGGTAGGCACCAATACCTTGTTCATAATATGCATTTATATTAAAGTTGAGCTACCTCATATAAATAAGCACCAAGTAATTTAGTCTAAAGCAAAAGTAAAGAATTCTTAAATTTGAGTAAAATTGTACTGTTAAATTACAATAAGCTATATCGTTAAATAAGAATACTTACACCCTCGATATAGTTACGGATATCTACTTTCTCATTCTGAGAATGAGCTCCATCATCACCAGCACCAACTGGTAAGAGTAATACATTTTTGCCTGTGACTTCTTGGAATGTCAAAGTAACAGGAATTGAACCACCTTCACGTGATAAATCGGGCTCTACATTATAAACATGCTTGGTTGCTTTTCGACCAGCTATGTAATTTGGATGGTCAGGATTTTCAGTCCAAGTTTTTCCTCCATGACACATGCTAACTTTCATTGTATTTGGAGTACCTCTGGCAGCCCATTTTTTATTTAAGTATGTTATTACTTTTTCCACAGTTTCTTCAGGAGTCATACTTGGTACAATTCGAATTGAAAATTTACCAGTAACTTTTCCTGGAATAACAGTTTTTGCACCTGGTTCACTGAATGCACCCTCAATTCCATGAAGAGATAAACTAGGTTGTCTCCACCGATGCATCAAAAGTTGAATCTAACAACATAATTAATCTATTAGTAACAAAAACGAGAAATTATAAATAATAACAATAAAAAATTGAAAAAAGTAATATGATTAAAATTTGATACTAACAAAAATAAATACTTACTTCATCTTCATTATGGAGTAATTTATTGGCTCCAATAGACTCTCTAAATTCACCAGCATCAAATTCTATTGTCTCATATGATTTCACTTCTTTTTCTGTAATCTTATCAACACTGTCATAAATACCATCAATTAGAATTTTTCCATTTACATCAAGTAATGTATTCAACAAATATATTAAATCTGTCATTGCTTCATGCACAGTACCACCAAATGTACCACTATGTAGATCTTTTACAGCACAAGTTACTTCCACTTGGAAGTAACAGATACCTCTCAAACCATATGTAATGCAGGGTTTTTTGGTACCCAACCAGTAATTATCAGAAATGCATACATAATCCACACCTTGCAAAAATGTATCTTTACGTGCCCAAAGGAGATCATCTAAACCTTCACTCCCACTTTCTTCCATACCTTCAAAAACAAACTTTAATCCAAAAATATTTAATAAAAGAAATTGAAAGAGAAATATTATTAAAAAGTATATAATTGGTAATACCTTGAGATTAACAGGAATGTCAATTCCGATAGCTTTATAAGCTTGTAATGCATGAATCCAACAGAGTACAGGACCTTTGTCATCTGTACTTCCACGTCCAAATAATTTCCCATTTTTCTCAACAAGTGTAAATGGTTCTGTGTCCCACCCATCTTCTTTTAATGCAGGTTGAACATCTAAATGTCCATACAAAAGAACAGTCTTTTTTTTAGGATCAGATCCAAGGGTTCCTAACAAAACAGGTGGAAGAGGAATTTGATTTCCATTTGGAAGATTTTGCTTTCCTACATCTGCTAATTCTGTAGTGGCTCCAAGAGTTTTTAATCTGGCTTCTGCCCATTTCATCATTTTAATAATTTCATTTCTATAATCTGGCCATGCTGAGACAGATTTTATAGCTACTGCTTCCCGTAAATTATTTATGTACTCTGCTTTATGGTCATCAATATAACTAAAAATTAAATAAATATCAATATTTAACCAATATTATATTATAAAATATGTCATAAGTAAAGAAATTTCGGCATATGTATAAAATAAACTAATGCGTTTGATTTACCCAAATAAGTGTTTTAATGCGGAGGGTAGTTCTGAAGCCATTCTTTTGTTCCTTATATAAAACCAGAATTAGTTAGAGAACAATAAAGTGAAGTTTTAACAGACGATTAACAAAATACGAATAATTTCTGCGAACATATGTAACAAACCGGGAATCTTATCTTATGGGTGTGACTCATTGACAGGTTCGTGATATATACAACTTTGATAAGCATGCAAATTAATATTTATCGTTAAAAACATAGAAAATTAATTTTTTCTAATTTGAAATTCATATGACTGCATATTATTAACTTAAATTGATAAAATTCTTGTAATGCTTGTAATATCTTCCTAAATAAAGAAATATATTGAAAATATATCAAGGCGCGAAAAGCAAATACTTTAAAGATTAAAAAATTGTAATTATATTTTATGGACTGTAAAAACAGATTTTTCTATGCATTTAATATTATTTAAATTAAATCTGATTAGGTGAATTGTTATTCACGTTCAATTCATTCGATGATACAATGATAGTAATAAAAATCATCCAATCACAAGTGAGATTTACATATACCCCAATACGTATCACGATTTGTGAACACGAGCAAAAGTAAATTGTTTTGTGAAAGAAAAGTGCATAAGGAGAAGTTGACAACTCAAATACCTAGCATTGCCAACATATGTACATGTCGGAATTGTTTTTAGTCTACCCTCTGTATGACATGGAAGGTTATAAATAATAAAGTGCAAAAAGGCTAATTTTGTATTGTACTTTTATTGCAATATTTTGCACAAGTTTAAAAAATGTCCCGTCACCGTGATGTACGATGCATGAATTATTCTGAAGGTATGTAATCAGTAAGAAGTACTTAAAATATTTTACAGATATTTAAAATAACTAATCCTTTCAATGTCTTAGACTACTTTCCTTACTTTGTAACATAACATATTTCTTTCAGAATATGAAGGTTATGATGATGTATATGGACATTCTGTGGAAGATGATTACTGTGTATCTCCTAGTGGTACTTTTGTTTACCTTATAGTTGATATCTGGAGATTTGCACAAATATACTAATTATTTTAATTGCAGCTGAACAATTTTTATTTGATCGGAGTAAGCAACAAAATATTGCATCCTTCATTACGGAACCAGATATAATTGAAGACAATGAAGATAGTGAAGAATCTCCAATATCTGCTAACAAGGAAGATATAGCACTTACAGAACTTGAAAGGGCTAAACTTATGTCATGTTTAGATTCTATCAAGAATGTTATTGGAGACACAGTATCTGAATCTGAGATTAAAAAGAAAATTATTCAGTCAAATTTTGATGCTGAAATAGCACTTAATTCAATTTTGAAAGAATCTTCTCCAAAAAATGTTTCTGGTATGTGTATCTGCTGTACATAGATATCTGCATATATTTTTTTAATTTTTTTTATAATACAATTAAAGTAAATTACAATGAACCTTTTAGACCTATCTTCAGTTAACAAGGATAATTTAGAACCACATCCAGGTATGTGAATTTATTGATATTACAATTTTTTCATGATAAATAATATCTTTATAATATTATGCTTTAATATCATACATAATGACCATTTCTTGACCAATAATTGTTTTGTTTGTTTCATGTGTTGTCTTTGAATCCATCGGGAAGGTAAGATGTTACATATATTAAGACTCAGTCTAGTTCATTCATTATTCCTAAATTATCATTTAACAAGCAGGATAGTATTGAGAATGAGGATACATGTTTTGCACATAATTTAGAAAGTTTTAAAAATTTAAGTATTAGTAATTCTCCCATGTCCTTTCCTTCTTTGTCTGGATTTACAACTAATCATGTTGACTCTATAGTATCAAATTCTACGAAGGACTTTTTCAAAAATAATTCAGATACAGTATCATTTAAATCCTTAGCTGATTTAACAGCACACCATTTACAAAAATCTAGTACCTTAATTGATAGAACAAATTCTAATGGAAAAACATTTTCACCTAACACAAATTTTGTAATACCAAAATTGTCAATTAAAAACGATAGCTGTAGTGATTTGAGTAATATACAATTAGGTTTATCTACTATTCAAAAAAATATAAATTTACAATTTGACATAGCAAATGATAGAAAAAAAGATGATTCTATGGATTCACTTGAAAGGAGTATATCCAATCTGCTTGCTCTTTCAAAAGATTGCACCAACTCCAGTACTAAAAATAATTCACAGTATGTAGAGACAAAAGAAAATTCAGTATTAAATGTAAGTGGTAATCGAACACCATCACCAGATCCTTGGATGATTGATTTGAGTTCTGCTTTAAAAGAAGCTACATCTGCAGTTTCAAATAGTTGTAGTCATACAAATCCAAAAGCAGTGGAAGATGCTAACAATGTTACTCCAAATTTAAATTTATATGCTTCTAATCAAAATGTTGTAAATCCATATGCTATGCTCCCTACAACATTAAACTTAAGTTGCCTAAAATATGTTAAACTTCCATATACCAAAAAGAACGTATCTTTATTTGGTAGAGCATTATGCAAAACATGGAAATTGAAAAAACCAATTCTTAAATCTCAAAAAGAGTATTCTGAAAGAGTAAAAAGATTTGATTTTTCAATTCCATATACTCGTACTTAATGAAACGTACAATAATAC